GACAACTTCATTAAGCATCCTGCCTTCAAGTACTAAGCCACAATTACTGCAGAGGAAGTAACAAGTTCCAAAGTCACTGTGGCTCTTCTATGCATCCAACAGAATGATAGGAATAATGAGTATTAATCATATCAGTCATATTTATACACTACTCTCACAGCATAAGCAGCCAATCAAAGTGCTGAATACTTAACACTTGAAGACAGTGAATAGACACGTTCCATGAAACACTTAAGGTACTACTCAGTGTATCCCCAAGTGATGGTGGCAGAATGGTGGGCAGATCAAACACTGACACTCTGCTGAAAGGTTGTTAGAAAACCTGAACAGTAATGGCTTCAGCTAAAATTTCAGAAATAGTCTAAAAGAACATATTGCAAATGCTAAGAAATTAAACAGAGGCAAGGATTATGTTCTCTCCCAAACTAGAGACTTTCATAGGTCCCTTGTTCACTGAAACTTCAACAACCTTAACATGACTGCATGGTCTTGAGAAGTTGGAACTCTTCACAAAATAATCTTGTCACAGAAGCCCAAAGAACACTCTCACCAGAAACACTGAGATGAGGTGTATGAAATTTCTTACATACAAACTTCTAACAGACAACTTTGAGATTCAGTGCTGGACTGGATAAGAGATTATATATCCATTAGGCAACAGAAAAGAGCTTTAAAACTTTCCTTTGAGCCATTACATCTGTTACTGATACGCAGGTATCACTGTCACATAAAATGCTGTGCTTTATTTGGCACAACACCTTCTAAACTGTGAAGCATACTTAGCACCAGGAATTACACTAGACCAAAATGAGACTGCTAAAACACACCCAGGATTATTGGTTTTTACTTGGCAGAGACTGTTGATCAGGCAGCAGGTATTCTCCAGCACTACTCTAGACTTCCTGAGCTAATAAAAAATAGCTTTCCAGAATACCTAAGCAACAAGAAATCCAGGTCACCAGTTACAGAGTGCAGGTCCCGAACAAAAAAAAAAGCACACGGGGGGGAAAAAAGAAAAAAAAGGTATTTCAAGAGGAATTTGGTCACTGCTCAGGTTCTGACATCTACAACTAGCTAGAACAAGCAAAGAGCTGAGGAGGAGGAACAGAGCTCATTTCCTCTGGTTTCAGATTCTCATAACAACCACTTAACTCAGAATGAAGATTAAAGTGAGATTTCTTAATACCAGAGGCTTATTATCTGTTGTGGAATAGTTTGATTCTTACTCCCATAGAGTAAAAACTTGCACACTTTGAGCCTGTCCCTGATAGCAAAGATATTTATAAAGCACCTTCCATTATTCACTTTAACGTCAGTTGGACCATGTGGGAAGGCATATTATTTTGCAACTTACCTGTTTGCATGAGTAAGTGAATATATACACTGCCTTTTCATCACAGCAGCATATGGTATTTTAAATACCTGCGCAGCAGAATATTTCACTGAGAAAAGACTTACTACATAGTCAGTTTGATGATTAACAAAATCCAGAAAAATGTATGCACAAATACACTCAGATAAGACTCCTCACTATCCATAGGTTTATTTCCATGTGTTCCTCAGCTTGCTCCTATCAATAATATTCTTCATAGAGCTGAGGTAACAGGGTGGAAACTTGAGTACTACTTGGTATTTTGCAGGGAACTACATTAGAAGTGCCAGTGAGAAATTCAGAGCTCTGTACTGACATGTACAGTAAGATGAACCCATAAACTGAACAGCTCTCTCACTAATAGTAACAGTGATGCCAGAATAAACAGTCTTTGATTCAAAATTTACTCGTCCTTCAAAAAGCTTTCTTTTGTGACTAAGATTTTGCAGTTTGCTAGGACGCTTAGGAAGGACAGCACAGCCAGAATTTCATCAGGTGGATAGTGCAAGCATAAGGCATTTGTAAATAGCTTGCTGCCTTGAAAAAATCCATAAAAGGATACTTCCTGTACAAATTATGATTTTATCTCATTAGATCTGGCTCTTAGCTTTGGGCTGTGTTGACAGTGGCCCAGAAGTGTGTTCCCCTGCAAGCTAGTCCTGGATGTGCAGAGATAAAAGTAATCTTCCTCCTGAATTTGAGTCTATGTACTGAAGTAAAACATAAGCTTCTAAAATATATGGGGAAAAAGAGGGCTGTCCTTGAAGGAGGCAGTTCTCCTGTTCCTCAGCGGTACACAAGTTTTCATCTTCAAAAGGTTACAATCCATACGGTCCCCAAAGGAAGGAAAACAGTAGCAGGAAAGGAAAGAACCAAGCGTATCAACTTTAAGCTTTTACATCCCTACACTTCCATTTTTTCTGAGTATGCACAAAAGTTGAGAAGCTGACAGCTAGATGTTAGCTCTGGTTAACTGGAGTCCAGCCTCCAGAAAACCCTGCTCCTTTTTAGCGATATGGAATAGCCTCCTGCTGCTGGAACAGATCCATAACCATTGCTGTCTCTGGAGTACCCTTAAGTCCAAGACGCGAGGAGCCTTGTCTGTTCAGCTACTGAGCCATATTTACAGAATGTAAGGCACAACCTGTAACACTGCTAGAACTTCAAGGAAGTAAATGTTTAAAAAAAATACAACATGCTGTAGTACAACTAAACTAATTACTATTGCAACCAACTAATAAACTATATGGTTTAATAAAAATTCTAAGATACCTATGAGCAATACTATACTGCATACTTTATATATACCATCAATATTGCTTCCAAGACATATTGATGAGCACATGCAAGGCCTCCAGACTTTTATGGCTGGTGTACAGTGATATGAGGAGTTCAGAACATCGCTACCTGTGTGCTAGGGTCGATGGCTAGAATACTTGAAAGTCAGTAGAAGCTGAAGTTCAGAGAGGGGTATTTTGACCAAGTCACAAGGTGCCAAGTCTACTTTCTCTTCCTCAACGTACAGAAGTTGACTTCTATTATTTTTGTAGACCAACCTCAGGAAGGTCAAATGCAAGAATCTTCAGCAGCAAATTGAAAAGCAAATACACTATCAAGTCCCTCCAATTTGACAGCTAGGATCTTGTAGTTGATACACAGAGAAAGATATACTGCAGTCATGCAAAATACCTCTCCAGAAATAGCATCTTGACGCAGATATTGTGCTTAAGGTTAACAGTGACATCATAGGGATGAATATTTTGCTATTAAAATAAAACTTTAATTATTGGGAAGAGATCAGCAAACTGCCAATCTAGGATCTTCCTGCCCCTGCACTTTCTTTATAATCAGTACCTTGGCTTTTAGTCTTCAGTATCAGAGAAGACCAGAAGATTCAACTTTAAATGAATACAGAACCGTTCCTGAAGAACAACCCCTCCACACGATCAGAGCGAACACTACACAGAATTATACAGTGATGAGATGCATCATATTCATAAGCTGTCATTCTGAAGCTGGTACCAAAGTTCACTGTATCACACCTATTTGCCGAAGTTTTAGCTCCAATACCAGTTGTCACCCACGCTACATGTTCCTTTGCTGGAACCTGGGCATAGTACTATGCCAGATCATGCCATAGACAGCATCCTTGACTCAACCTGGACTAGGCAAGCAGAACCAGCTCATTCTCACATATGCATGAATTCATTAGTTTTAAGTCAAGAATCTGCCATTCTGCTCCAAATTAAGATAATATGATGGCAGTCCACTAAGGACATAACACCAATAAATGACCAGGGCTTAACCTAGGGTCTTGTCACTAGTACATAGGCATAAGGCTTTTTATTGTATTAAAAAGGGTAGCATTTACTCTACTTTGTGAATGCCCAAAGTGATAGCAGGTCTTTCTTGTCAAGAGCTTCCTTCTCATTTTTCATTTATTTCTCTAGCATCAGACAATGAAGTTTCGTCTCCAACATCAGTTAAAAAAGGGGCTTAGAGGAGGTCATAACCACCCACTACCCACCATGCTGGGAGTGCACAATACTAAGAAAATATTTGTATTTTCTCATAAAACTTATTACAGCAAAAATTTTTGTCACTGACATACTCAAACCTGGAGCATGGCTAGTAGGATCACTGGCAGGCATCATGCTGTTCTTTTACCATTAGCCAGATGGTGCAACTAAAGCATTTACCCTATTTACTGGAGGTGGAGTGAAGAGACAATTTGACACCGAAAATTCAGTAAAGGAATTAGAGAAAGTAACCAGAACAATGTAAAGAAGGCATCTGTCCCTCTAAAGTTATAAAATTTTTATTGAATACAATTCCCAACTTTTAATTTCATATTTGTCTAGCTTTTGAAAGCAGTTAAGAAACAGGCACACTTGGACCTCTCTTGACATCATCCAGTTGTAGTTAACCTGGATATTACATTGTGTTCCAGTCAGTACTTCCACCTGGCACAAAAAGCTTTAGTAGATTTATAATGAGCATGCCATGCAATGCAATTTTGTGCTTTAGAGTCTGCACTGCCCAATTCTGTGTTGATTTAAATCCATACCAAAACAAAAGCACTTTATAGAGAGTCTTAAGAGTGTGGGTACATAGCTAAAGAGACAACAGCCTCCTCTTTCAGGAAGGTACGATAAAACCCAGCAATTACTTTCAAATTGTACTTTCAAACAACGAAGCTGACAGCAAGACTTTACATATGAGAGCCTCATTTCTATCAAAATATGAGCTGACTGCTTGGCTGAAAACAGTAAGGAATACTATTCACCTTCAGAGCACAATATGAAGTTCACGTTCAGTTTGGGGTGCAGGAAAAAAGGACCAGAACTTAACAATAGGAGATTTTGAAGCTATATTTCTACTATTTTACTTAATCAGCTACTATTAACTTGGGGGTTTATTTTATTACATCCAAGATTTGGGATGGAATTAAGCCCCATTTAATTAAATAAAAAAAAATTTGTGTTTTTTCTGAGCAGGAGAAGCTATTAATTTGTTTTAGCAGCTTAGGGACAGTATCACATTAACGGCTGTTTTATGAGTTGAGGCTTTGAGGAATATGATAAACTTGGCTTCTTGTAAGTTTAACTCATTAAACTTAAAAGCTTACAATGTCACTGCCGGAGAGTGATGATACAGAAGAGGCAGATGAGCCAGAGGATAACTGTTGTGTGCCAGCCAATGACAAAGCCAAGCGTTGGTTGTAAGATGGTTCAGAGTCTCTGTTCTGTTGCTGTTCTCCATTGCACGGAGCTATCTGGTCTCTTATTTTCAACCTATTATCTGTTAACAGAAAACACAAGTATCATTTAAGCACACAGAACAGAAACACAAGGGCCCTGAAAGTCTAGAAAGAGCTGCAGTTTAACAAGTTATTTGAAAAACAGTCTCAGAGAAAATTATTCTTCGGTTAGAAAGTTACAAATTCCTTTTTTTCCCACGTATCTGAAAGTGATTAATTTCAAGGCATGAGTATTCTGAATTACATCAAATTCAAGGAAAAAAAAGTTGGTTTCCAAGATTCCTGCTATACCTACCAAGTTCAGGTGACAAAGTAATTTTGCTCCCCCACTTCTTTTTAATCCAGGCCCTGTAGTCAATCACTTCTTGGGTCACTTTGATGATTCTACCTAACGTGCTAAAAAAATAAATAAAGTATTAAATAAAGACTGCTGCTTACACATTTGCAAGCATTTCAACAAACAATCAAATTATGCTAAGTCATTAGAGTCACTTTAACATATCACTAACCAAAGAATCCTTCTGAACTCTCATTTCCTCAGCACACCACTTAACTCATTGAAGCAACACAATTTTTAAATTAGTGTATTACTTATGTTCTTCCATACTCACATGCAAGCGCTGATATATAGATTTTTACTCTAAGTTTTACTCTGTATTTCTAAATGGAATATAACTTAATTACCAACAACGTACATGCAGATACCACTGTACCTGATAAAAGTAATTTACAGATCCTTGCATTTTTCCATACAAAAAGTATTTCTTCCACAGAACCTGGATTACAACAGTTATCGTATGCACTTAAGATATCAATAGCCTAGCCTGTCAGGTGACCATCATGCTGAAGACAAGACCTTCACTAGTCCTTGATTACTAATTTACAAGACAATTGAAAAGGTGTAAACCCTATACAATTATAAAGGAAGTACCATGGATCGTGAGGTAGTGGAAACAAGAAATGGGCTGGCTCCCAATCCAGAGTTAAGTTAGAATTTAAGGAAATTCATAACAGTAAGTGGTTCAGAGAAAAAGCCTACCTGGTCCTGCTGCACAGAGATCAGTT